AGTTCTTTAAATTCTATATTTCCCATACTATTCTTGCCCTCCCCCCTATCTATTTTCTACCTACCGTCTATGCTACTTACTCTCTGTACCTTCTCCCCCTTCTCCTTCTCCCACTTCCCCGTTGCTAACCCTCCATGTGATCTTCATTTCTATGGTTCACTCCTGATCTAGCTGTCCTCTTAGTTTGCTTTTGTTTTAGGTGTGATTGTTAATAACTGTGCATTTGCTGTCCTTTCACTGTTCATCTTTTTTATCTTCTTTTTCTTAGATAAGTCCCTTTAACATTTCATATAATAAGGGCTTGGTGATGATGAACTCCTTGAATTTGATCTTATCTGAGAAGCACTTTATCTGCCCTTCCATTCTAAATGAAAGCTTTGCTGGATAGAGTAATCTCGGTTGTAGGTCTTTGGTTTTCATGACTTGGAATACTTCTTTCCAGCCCCTTCTTGCCTGTAAGGTCTGTTTTGAGAAATCCACTGACAGTCTGATGGGAACTCCTTTGTAGGGGACTGTCCCCTTAGCTCTTGCTGCTTCTAGGATTCTCTCCTTCATTTTAATCTTGGGTAATGTAATTATGATGTGCCTTGGTGTGTTCCTTCTTGGGTCCAACTTCTTTGGGACTCTCTGAGCTTCCTGGATTTCCTGGAAGTCTATTTCCTTTGCCAGCTTGGGGAAGTTCTCCTTTATTATTTGTTCAAATAAGTTTTCCACTCATGGCTGTTCCTCTTCCCCTTCTGGTACCCCTATAATTCGGATGTTGGAACGTTTAATGATGCCCTGGAAGTTCCTAAGCCTCTCCTCATTTTTTTGAATTCTTGTTTCTTCATCCTTTTCTATTTAATCATTTCTTTCTTCCTTCTGGTCTACTCCCTTGATTTGAGTCCCAGTTTTCTTTCCATCACTATTGGGTTCCTGTGCAATTCCCTTCATTTCAATTAGTTTAGCCTTCATTTGTTCCTCTAATTTGTGACTAAAATCAACCAGTTCTGTGAGCATCCTGATCACCAGTGTTTTGAACTGTGCATCTGATAGTTTGGCTTTCTTGGTCGCTTATAGTTATTGGCTCTGGAGCTTTGAGTTCTTCTTGAGCCATGTTTTGGTCTGTTCACACCTGTTACATTTGAGGAGTGGAGCCCTAGGTGTTCACCAGGGCGGGGCAACTCAGTCGCTGGGTTGTGACGCTGCATATGGGGGCGGGGTCAAAGAGGGGCAATAATGGTCCCCTCTGCTGCTTTCCGCTGCTGGGGCCTTCACAGTCAGTCTCACTGCTCGCTCCTTCACGTGGTTTATCTGCACAAGAATATATGACCACAGTCAGCCAGCCGCCTTCCACCCTCACTGGGTCTGCCTGCCGCAGCCCCACGCCTGGGATCTGCCAACTGCCGCCCACGCGCCTGGGTTGGTCTGACCCAGTTTTCTGCTCAACCCTGGTCTGCTGTTGGCTCCGCCCCTCTTACCGATCTGGCTGAAGGTTCGTTGTTGTCTGACTTCCATGTAGTTCAATTTTCTGTGTTTTGGTTGGGTTTTTTTTTTTTTTTACTAAAACTTTGTTGTCTTTAAACTTGGTTGTGTAAGGAGGCACGGTGTTTCCACCTACGCCTCCATCTTGGCCGAAAGTCTTTTATTTTATTTTTAAAAGATTTTATTTATTTTATTTTTAGAGAGAGGTGAAGGGAAGGAGAAAGAGAGGGTGAGAAACATCAATGTGTGATCGCCTCTTACGCACCCCATACTGGGGGCCTGGCCCACAACCCAGGCGTGTGCCAGTAATCAAACCCACAACCCTTTGCTTCATAGGCCCATGCTCAATCCACTGAGCTACACCAGCCAGGTTATATATGCACATTTTAAATGTTAATAAATATTACCAAATTGCTCTCCAAAAAGGAAGCACCAACATATATTCCCACCAACAATGTATGGGAATGCTGGTTTCTCAGCATCTTCACAAACATGGGATGCCACTCTTTGTTAACCTATAAAATGAAAAATGACATCACACTGTTTCTCATTTGCTTTCCTTTTATCATTGGAGGAGCATCTCATCTTATTTATTTACCAGCGCTTTTCCTCTTCTAAGGAAAAGCATGTTGTTGTTGAAACTTTGCATTTTTCAACTTTGCATTGCTTAAGCCCTAATCATTATTTAGCATCCAGGAAGTGTTTGTTGAATGAATTAAGAGTAATGCTGTGAAGAATAAATGAGATAAAGTACTAAACTAAAGTACTAATTAGAGATCAATTAACATTAGTTGAATGTCCGGAGTCAGGAGGTGAGTGCTGTAATGCTCTCAACTTCTTCCCCTTCAGGGACTGGGGTGGGCTGCTGAACTCAAAGATTCCAAGAGGCCTGGTTTCTCTGGAGCTTCTCATTGTGTATTTTTGGACAAATAACTCCTTTGACCCTTCTCTTCCCTGCAATATTTTGAAAAGTATATACAAGCTGCATTATGCTTATTGAAAAGGGTTATTAGACTGAAAACATTATATTGATTTACAATAAGTATATATTCATGTATTTCTTGAATAAAAAATAAGTTTAAAAAATAAATGAGAAAATTTATAAGAATAGGGAAAAATAAACCTACATAATAAGGCCAGGACTAAGAAAAGATGCTGGCTGTCTTTGTAATGACCTTAAATTTCCTTTTAATTATGTGATTTCCTACTTGGCTCTGCTTCTCTTCCATTTTTTTCCCCAACTCTCTGTCTCCCTCTACTGCTCAGGTACTCTCATTTCAGTGCATTTCAATTTAGCAAATAGGATTAATAGAAATATTTGTGGCCTGTTCCTGATCTTAGTTATCTATATCACCCTCACCAAACTTTGCTCTATTCTTGGCTGTGACCAGCACAAGGGACATAGAGTTCACAGTCTGGTGGGGGACACAAATTTTTAAGCATTATAACCATTATGAGTATGACAAGAAATAATTTGAGCCAGCCACTCTGCTAAGTACATCACATACATGAACTTTTAGTCCTACTGACAGCCATACAAGGGATCTCATGTACAGAAAAGGAATCAGGGTCACGAATGTGACTGGTTCAAGGTCACAATTTAGCAAACATGGAACATGGATTCTGACTATGATCTGTCTGCCCTCCAAAGTCAGTCCCTTCCTACTACAACATAACAATACAAGTGTTGTGAAACACTGAAGTGGGAGCATCAAAATCTACTTTAGGGGAGTGCAGTTGTTGCACCTGGGAAGATTTCACAGGGGAGAGAATCTCTGATTTGGGTAGAGAAGGGTGGTTCACACATCGAGAGCAGCAAACCTGGGACCTGCTCAAGAATAAAAGGTCAGGTGGGGTGTGGGAGAACAGAGGCAGGAAATGAGGCTAGAATCAGACTGTACATGGCCTCAAAGGCCAAGCTAAGGAAGGTGGGCTCAAAATCCAAGGTCAGGGCTTCCCTACCTGGGGCATGTATACTGGGCATGAATGACCTCCCAATGTGGCCGGACTATGAGAAACCACTGGTGAATGTGGCATATCACCTGGAATTTCAATTTTACTCAAAGGCTTGTGGAAAAAGCAATCTTGTGCTTTTCTATGAAAGATGTATTATAGAGCCCTGGCCAGTGTGGCTCAGTTGGTTGGAGGGTCTCCCATTAACTGAAAGGTAGCGAGTTTGATTCCTGGTCAGGGCACATGCCTAGGTTGCAGGTTCAGTCTTAGTTGGGGTGTGTGCCAGAGTCAACCAGTCAATGTTTCTCTCTCACACTGATGTTTCTCTCTCCCTATGGAATAATAATAATAATAATAATAATAATAATAATAAAAAGTGTTGTGAAATTGGATCTAATATCATGGATTTTAAAATTAATCCTGAGATTTCAAAGACATTTCCTAGTTGCAGTAAGCTGTTTCCCAATGAGGAAGTGTTTGGAAGCCTACACTCTCTGATGCCCTTAGGGATAGATATTTGTGAAGCATTATTGTAGGTGCTGGGTGGGAAATGGGAAACAGTGGATTGAACTCCATGTGAGGGCTCTAGACTAAAGCTGGCTGGGACTCAAAGATTAATGGGAACTGTCTTTGTAGAGCTTTTAGTCTGGGCTTTATGACACTGATGATTCTGAGCAGGAGAACAATTAAAAACCAGGTGAAGTTCCTTTCCTCTCCCCTATCTCCTTGACACATTCCTCTTGTAACTCAACCATTCTTTTATTCAAAAAATATTTACTGCACAACAACTCTCACTTCCTGTGTGATATTGGACATGTTTTTAACCTTTGTGTACCTCTGTTTCCTCATCTGCAGAATGGGAATATAATAATACCTACCCCATAGCATCACTAGGAGTGTCTCAGTGAGAATTAAATGGGAATTTGTATAGTGCTTAGAATAGAATGTGGAAAAAAAGTTCAGCCCTGTTTAAACATTAGCTATTATAACAATATTATTTGTACAACATCTACTGCTACCATGTTCCAGTCATTACCTCGCACAGCCATCATTCCTTAGGTAATTCATGTTGGGAGCAGGGGTTGGGTCTGGCAGGAATATAGAAATGAATCAGACTTCTCCTTGCAGTTGTACAGACTTATAAGTATCTGGCACATAGAAAGTGCCCAAATTGCTTGTTGACTAAATAAATAAATAAATGTCTTCCTATTAAACTGCAAGGTCTTTAAAGGCAGGGACCATTCTTGTCGCTGCGAATTACTAGAAGGAAGCACTGGGCGAGGCACACAGTGGGCACTTAGAGTTGAAGGGATAAAAGACTACAGGCAGAAAAATCATTTAAGGCTATAAAGTTGGCACAGATAAAGTGCCTTTCGGCTGCCATCAGTTTTTGAAATGAGCAGAACAGAGGAAAAGATGTGACCGCCAAAGGCTTTAACAGCGTGAGGATTAGGGGAAAGCCCAGGCTTTCGGAGACGACTCTCCGAGAAAGCGCTGGTGAGTGCTGACCTCTGAGGACCTGAGGTTCTGTGGCCCAGGCTCCGCCCCTTCGCCGGCTCACGTGACTGTGGGCGGGACTCCGGCGGGGAGTTGGTAGGAGAGGCTGGGTAATCTGGTCTGGGAGAGCAAGAGCCATGGCTGGCCTGGTGGACTTCCAGGATGAGGAACAGGTGAAGTCGTTTCTGGAGAATCTGAAGGTGGAGTGCAACTATCAGTGCTACCAAGAGAAGGACCCGGATGGTGAGTGTCCCCGGGCGCCCTGGGAGCACGTGGGAGATCGTGGAGGAGGGTGCAGGGGCCCGGACGGGTCGCGAGAGCGACCTCTGAGGGACTCTGGAAACGGTCACGGGCCGGGGACACGTCCGGACGGAGTCTATGGGACACACACGACCTTGTGTGTGTTAGGGAGAGTTGGGATTCCACGAGGTCTCTCCGGGCTCACCGTAGGGGAATGCTGTGCGGGTTTCAGCCTGGACCCTGGGCGGGAAGGAGAGATGCCTGGGTATCTAGGTATCTGTTCAATACATCATTGAACAGGTAAAGTTTCCTGTTCTCTTGGAGCTTACGTTCCAGCGAGGTGAATTGGGCAATAAACATAAGGAAATAAGTGAAATAATGTGTTAGAAAATAGTAAGTGCAGCCATGGCTGGTGTGGCCCAGTTGGTTGGAGTGTAGTGTCCCGTGCACCAAAGGACTGGGAGTTTGACTCCAGGTCAGCGCACCTACTTAGGTTGTGGGTTCGTTCCCCCAACCCTCCCCATTAGGGGCTATGGGCGGTAACCAGTTGCTGTTTCTCACATCGGTGTTTCTGTTTCTTAGTGTCTTTCCATCTCTCTCCCCCATCCCTCTAAAAAAAAATATATATATATATATGTATTTAAAAAAAAGAAAAGTGCAATAGCAAAAAGAACTGATTGATAAGTGTCGGGAGTTCAGGAGGTCAATTTTATTTTATTTTTTAAAAGATTTATTTATTTATTATAGAGAGAGAGAGAGGGAGAAAGAGCAGAGATACATCAATTGCCTCTTACACACCCCCTACTGGGGACCTGGCCCTGTAATCCAGGCATGTGCCCTGACTGGGAGTCCAACCAGCGACCTTTGGGGTCACGGGTGTGCAGGTTGGCACTCAATCCAGTGAGCCACTCCAGCCAGAGCAGGAGGGAATTTTAAATTGAGTGGTCAGGGGAATCATTGAGAAAATGGCATTTGAACAGTCTTGAATAAGGTAAGGGAGATCTATGCCAGGTGGAAGTGACAGCTTTCCTGTGCGAAGTAGGAAGGTGCCAAGAGAAGGACCCAGATGGTGAGCGCCCCCCCCCACAGGCACCCTGGGAGCATATGGGAGATCATGGAGGAGGGGGCAGGGGCCAGGGGCTGGACAGGTCACATGAGTGACCTCTGACAGACTCTGGAAACAGTCATGGGCCAGGGACACATCTGGATGGAGTCTGTGGGACACTGACGACCTTGAATGTGTTAGGGAGAGTTGGGTTTCCTCGAGGTCAGTCTGGGTTGGCACTGGGGGAATTCTCCGTGGCTTTCAGCCTGGAGGCTGGGCGGGAAGGAGAAATGTAGGAAAGTACATTCACCCAGGAAAGGACCTGAGACATGAATGTACCATGTGTGCTCTGGGAACATTGAGTTGATTTGAGAGTAAGGTGGACGTTGGTGTCCAGAAGGGGCCACCCAGAGCAGTCAGTTTTTCCTGCTTTACAAAGGAAAAAAATGGCACTGGTCATACCTAATAATAGCTTGCATCCTAGTTTCCAGAGCACGATATAGCTACATTTTGATGCTAACCAACTACACAGAGTTGCTCTGCAGCATAATAGCTTAAAAAGAACCCAGGATTGCTCTTCGAGGGCTGGTCCATGTCCTGAGTGTAGAAAGAATTCACAGGAATTGGAGTCACTGAGGAGCTGGAAGGTTGGGACAGATTTCTGGGGTTGGTCAAAGGAGCAGGCCTTCCCTGGTAACCCAGTCTTAACCATTTCCCCAGCATGCACAAAAAATGTTATAATCCTGTTTTATTTCGGTCATGACACTTATTACTTTTTGCTTTTTTATCAACAGTTACTTTATTTTTTAAATATATTTTATCAGTCATGCTATTACAGTTTTCCCAATTTTCCCCCTTTATCCCCCCTCTGCCCTGTACCCCCTAACCCTCTAGTATTACCCCCACCTTAGTTCATGTCCATGGGTTGTACATCTAAGTTCTTTTGAGTTCTCTTTTTCCTATACCATTTTTGATTGCTCCCCATCTATTTGATACCTACCAGTTACGCTTCTTCTCTGTACCTTTCCCCCCCATTCCTCCCTTCACTCACTCCGCTGAAATACCTCCATGTGACGTCCATTTCTGTGATTCTGTTCCTGTTCTAGTTGTTTGCTTAGTTTCTGTTTTTGTTGTTTTTCTTTTAGGTTCATTTGTTATAGTTGTGAATTTGTTGTCATTTTACTGTTCATAGTTGATCTTCTGTTCATTGATCTACTTTTTCTTAGATAAGTCCTTTTAACATTTCATATAATAAGGGCTTGGTGATGATGAACTCCTTGAATTTGATCTTATCTGAGAAGCACTTTATCTGTCCTTTCATTCTAAGTGAAAACTTTGCTGGATAGAGTATTGGTTGTAGGCCCTTGCCTTTCATGACTTCAAATACTTTTTTCCAGCCCCTTCTTGCCTGTAAGGTTTCTTTTGAGAAATCAGCTAATAGACTTACGGGTACTCCTTTATAGGTAACTCTCTCCTTTCCTCTCGTTTCTTTTAAAATTCTCTCTTTATCTTTAATCTTGGATAACTTAATGATGATGTGCCTTGGTGTGTTCCTCTTTGGGTCCAACTTCTTGGGACTCTCTGGGCTTCCTGAACTTCCTGGAAGTCTGTTTTCTTTCACCAGATTGGGGAAGTTTTCCTTCATTATTTGTTCAAACAAGTTTTCAATTTCTCGCTGCTGTTTTTCCCCTTCTGGTACCCGTATAATTTGGATATTGGAACATTTTCGGTTGTCCCAGAGGTTCCTCAGCCTCTCTTCATTTTTTTGAATTCTTGTTTCTTCATTCGGTTCCAGTTGGATGTTTACTTCTTCCTTTTGTTCCAAATCATTGTTTTGATTTGAGTCCTGGTTTTCTTTCTGTCACTGTTCGTTTCCTGAATATTTTGCTTTATTTCATTCTGGGTATCTTTCATTTGTTCTTTCATTTTTTGACCAAGTTCAATCAGTTCTGTGAGCATTTTGATTACCACAGCTTTGAACTCTCCATCAGATAGGTTGACTGTTTCCTCATCACTTAGCTCTCTTTCTGAAGTTTTGCCCTGTTCTTTCCTTTGGGTGGTGTCTGTCTCAGTGCGCCTGTTAAATTGTAAGGGGCCGGGGCAATCCTTGCTGCCCTGCAGTGCTGCCTGTGGGGGAGGGGCCAGAGAGGGACCAATGCTGCTCCCCTGCTTAGCTCTAGTGCACTTTCTTGTGTGAGACTGGGAGTTTCTCCCACCAAGGCAATCGCCACAGTCCACAGTCAGCTCTGAGTCTCAGTTTCCCATTCAGCCAGCCCTGGCCCCCCTGTCTCCAGCCTCCTCTCCCCTCACACTTCTCTCTCAGCTAGCCCCACCCATGGAGTTCTTGCCTGGGGTTCTTATTGTTCTGGTTGACTGTTTCTTTAATTCCTCAGTTGTTGGAGTCCCATGCAGTTTGATTTTCTGGCACTTCTAGTTGTTTATTGATTTTAGATTGATCGTTATCCTCCTTTTGGTTGTGCAAGGAAGCAAAAGGTTTCTACCTATGCCTCCATCTTGGCCAGAACTCCATTTATTATTTTTGAATACATCTTATTCACATATGTACTTAATTAGTGTGCTTACTCCTCTAGAATGTAATTTTTAGGAGGGCAAGTGACTGTATTCCCAGCTTCTGATACATAAATGAACATAGATGCTCCAACATAGTGGAGTAAAAATGAATGAGAGATAAGTGTTATTGGGAATGAAAAAGAGACAGAGGGGAGAGATGGTACAGAGAGGCTTGCTGGGGCCAGAGACTGCCAAGGAGAGAGAGTACTATTTCCATCTCCTTTGGTAGCTGCTGTTCCTACTGTTTTCAGGCTTCATGTTCCCAGCCTGGCTGAGGAGTGGTAAAATGCAGTCACAGAAGTACCCCTCTCTTGCTGCTACAGAGACTAGCTCATAGACCCTTTTGCTTTTCTGTTTGACTACTGAACTTCCTAAGAAGTTCCAAAGCCAGCGGAGTTTCAAAGCTACTGCATCTTTGTGCTGGCCTGGCTGACAGGGAGCAGAAAGGCTGGTGTGAGGAGGAGTCAGTGCAGGAGCCAAGGTCTCCCCAGGCTTTATATTGCTTAGTCCCTGCCTAAGAGCAGACAATGCCATTTGTGGGAATGGCTGAACACCACCTGCATTCCTTGTCACACCTCAGGAGAACAGAGGCTGGTCCTAAATGAAAGACACATTTGGCCAATCAGACCTGGACCCTCTCCACTGCTGAGCAGTGACCCTGGAAGTGAAGAACAGCTCTTGTCTTCTTTTCACAGGTTGTTATCGGCTGGTGGACTATCTGGAAGGAATCCAGAAGAATTTTGATGAGGCTGCCAAGGTCTTGAAGTTCAACTGTGAAGACAATAAACACAGTAATAGCTGCTACAAACTGGGGGCCTATTACGTGACTGGGAAAGGTAAGGAGGGCCTCCTTTCTTTGGTCCTTGTCACTGAAATTAGTGCTGACCTCATCCTGAGCCTTCTTTGCAGAAGGGTCCTTACAGTCTTTGGGGAAGACTCACATTGTAGGAAGATTTGGAAAGCTGATCAGGGGAAGATCACAGCCTTTTAAGGTAGGGAGTCTTAGGAAATGCTGTTTGCAAGTAGTGCCCATCACTTTAACTCTGTACCTGTAGGATGTAGAAAACAAATAGTATTTGCTTCTTCGGATGGTTGTGAGGATGAAATAGGATAATGTAGGTAAAGGCATCAGCATATGCCTGGCCCAGAGAAAGGGATCAATAGTGATTCATTTTCTTGCATCTGTCTTTTCCTCCCCATGCCCTAATTGCAATTGTCACTGGAGTAGTGTTTAAGTTATCTATTGCTAAATAGCAAATTACCCCAGCAAACTTATTTCACAGAGTTTCTGTGGGCCAGGAATTTGGATGTTGGCTTAGCTGTGTGCCTCAGGGTCTCATGATTTTGCAGACATTACCGAGGAAGCTAGGGTTGCAGTCATTTGAAGGCTTGACTGGAACTGGAGTTTCCAGTTTAAAGATGACTTACCTCATGTGGCTGTTGATAAGGACTTTTTCCTGTTCCTTGCCACCTGTTATCAGGAGACCTCAGTTCTTTGTGACATGGACCTCTTTATGTGTCCTCATGCTATGGCATCTGGCTTCCTCCAGAGTAAGCAATCCAAGAGCAAGAAGGAATCCTCATTGTCTTTTAAAAAAATATATGTTTTATTGATTATGCTATTAGAGTTGTCCCAATTTTCTCCCCATTTGCCCTCCTCTACACAGTACCCCTATTCCCTCCAGCAGTCCCCTTCTTTAGTTCATGTCCATGGGTCATGCATATAAGTTCTTCGACTACTCCATTACCTATCCTGTTCTTAACATCCCTGTTTTGTATATACTAATATATAATTAAAAAAAAAAGATGTTATTTACTTATTTTTAGAGGTGGAGAGAGGGAAAAGAGGGAGAATTGTTAATGTGTGGTTGTCTCTCATGCAGCCCCTACTGGGGACCCAGCCCACAACCCAGGCATGTGCACTGACTGGGAATTGAACCAGCTATCTCTTGCTTTGCAGGCTTTTACTCAATCCACAGAGCCACACCAGACAGGGCCAATTTGTACTTCCTAATCCCTGCATCTTTTCCCTCATTCTTTCCTTTCCCCCCTCTCAGCCAGTAACCCTCCAAATGATCTTCATATCTATGATTCTGTTTCTGTTGTGCTGATTTGCTTAGTTTGTTTTTAGATTTAGTTGGTGATAATTGTGTATTTGTTGCCATTTTAATGTTGATAGTTTGGATCTTCTTTTTCGTATATGGTTCCCTTTAATATTTCATATAATAATGTCTTGGTGATGATGAACTCTTAGTTTTACCTTGTCTGGGAAGCACTTTATCTGCCCTTCCATTCTAAATGATAGCTTTGCTGGATAGAGTCATCTAGGTTGTAGGTCCTTGCTTTTCATCACTTTGAATACTTCTTGCCAGTTTCTTCTAGCCTGCAAAGTTTCTTTTGAGAAATCAGTGACAGTCTTATGGGAACTCCTTTGTATGTAAGTATCTTCTTTTCTCTTGCTGCTTTTAAGATTCTTTATCTTTAACCAAATATTTTAAATATGGTATGTCTTGGTATGGTCCTCTTTGGGTCCAGCTTCTTTGGGACTCTGTGTTTCTTCAACTCGTATGTCTATTTCCTTTACCAAATTAGAGAACTTTTCTTTCATTATTTTTTAATATAAATTTTCAATCTCTTGCTTGCCCCCATCTAGCACTCTTATGATACGGATGTTGTTACATTTGGAGATGTCCCAGGGGCTCTTTATTCTGTTCTCTCTCTCCTGTTTTTAAATTTCTTTTTTCTTCTTTCAGTTCTGATTGAATGCTTTTTTTCTTTTTCATTTTTCTTTTTTTGACATATTTTATTGATTATGCCATTACAGTTGTCCCATTTCCCCCTCTTCATTCCCCTCCACCCTGCACAACCCCTCCTTCCACATTCCCCCCTTTAGTTCATGTCCATGTGTCATAAATTCTTTAGCTTCTACATTTCCCACACTACTCTTGCCCTCCCCTTATTTTCTCCCCACTGTCTATTCTACTTATTCTCTGTACCTTCTCCCCCCCCACTCCCCTGTTGCTAACCTGTGTGATCTCTACTTCTATGGCTCTGCTCCTGTTTTAGGAGTCCTCTTAGTTTGCTTTTGTTTTAGGTGTGGTTGTTAATAACTGTGAGTTTGCTGTCCTTTCACTGTTCATATTTTTTATCTTCTTTTTCTCAGATAAGTCTCTGTAATATTTCATATAGTGAGGGCTTGGTGATGATGAAGTCCTTGAACTTGACCTTATCTGAGAAGCACTTTATTTGCCTTTCCATTCTAAATGAAAGTTTTGCTGGATAGAGCAATCTTGGATGTAGGCCCTTGCATTTCATGACTTGGAATACTTCTTTCCAGCTCCTTCTTGCCTGTAAGGTCTCTTTTGAGAAATCAGCTGACAGTCTGATAGGAACTGCTTTGTAGGTGACTGTCCCCTTATCTCTTGCGGCTTCTAGAATTCTCTCCTTCATTTTAATCTTGGCTAATGTAATTATGATGTGCCTTGGTGTGTTCCTCTTTGGGTCCAACTTCTTTGGGACTCTCTGAGCTTCCTGGACTTCCTGGAAGTCTATTTCCTTTGCCAGATTGGGGAAGTTCTCCTTCATTATTTGTTCACATAAGTTTTCTACTTTTTGCTCTTCCTCTTACTCTTCCTCTTCCCCCTATAATTCAGATGTTGGAATGTTTAAAGATGTCCTGGAGGTTCCTAAGCCTCTCCTCATTTTTTTGAATTCTTGTTTCTTCATTCTTTTCTGAGTGGCTGTTTCTTTCTTCCTTCTGGTCCACTCCATTGATTTGCGTCCCGGTTTTCTTCCTATCACTATTGGTTCCCTGTGCATTTTCCTTCATTTCACTTAGTGTAGCCTTTATTTTTTCATCTAATTTGTGACCAAAATCAACCAGTTCTGTGAGCATCCTGATCACCAGTGTTTTGAACTGTACATCTGATAGGTTGGCTATCTCTTGGTTGCATTGGCTCTGGCGCTTTGATTTGTTCTGTTTGAGCCATAAGTTTTTGGTCAAGTCACACCTGTTACATATGAAGGGCATAGCCTTAGGTGTTCACCAGGGCTGAGCAACCCATGTTGCTGGGTTATGCTGCTGTATGTGGGGTGGGGTCAGAGAGGGAGCAGTGGCACTTATTCTGCTCTCTCTCTGATTTCAGTCCCCTCTGCCGCTTCTCACAAGCAGGCATCATTGCAATCAGAGCTTTTAGGCTTTATTTCCCGTCGCTGGGGCCCTGGGTTATGAAATCTGTCTTGCTGCTTGTTTTTGCTTAGTCACCAGGCTGGGGCAACCCAGGTTTTTTGTTTGTTTGTTTGTTTGTTTGTTTGTTTGTTTGTTTCATTTTTCTTATGTTCAAATTATTGATTTGAATTTGGGGTTCATCCCCTCCATTGTTGGTTCCCTGTAAGTTTTTCTTTATGACCTTCATTTCTGTTGGGGCCTTTTTTAAAAAAAGATGTATTTACTTATTTATCTTTAGAGGGGAAGGGAAGGAGAGAGGGAGAGAAATAATCAATGTATGGTTGCCTCTCGTGTGTCCCCTGCTGGGAACTGGCCTGCAACCCAGGCATGTGCCCTGACTGGGAATTGAACTGTGATACTCTGGTTCACAGGCCCGTGCTCAATCCACTGAGCTACACCAGCCAGGCCTGCTGTGGTATTTTTTATTGCTCTTTCAGTACCCAGTGAATTCCGGGAGCATCCTAATAACCAGTGTTTTAAACTGTGTATCTGATAGGTTGCTTATCTCCATTTCATTTAGTTCTTTTTCTGGAGTTTTTTTCTGTTGTTGTTTTGCTTTTGTGTGTGTGTATGTGTGTTTAAGAGAGAGGAAGGTAGGGAGAAAAACATCAATGTGTGGTTATCCCTCATGCACTCCCCACTGAGGACCTGGCCCGCAACTCAGGCATGTGCCACAGACTGGGGATCAAACCAGCAACCCTTTGGTTTGTAGGCCAGTACTCAGTCCACTGAGCCACACCAGCTAGAGCTGTTCTGTTCATTCATTTGGGCCATATTTCCTTGTCTCCTCAATTTGGCAGCCTCCCTATGTTTGTTTGTGTATTAGGTAGAGCTGCTTTGACTCCCTGTCTTAGTAGCTTAGTCTGTTGTAGAAAACACATCTGTAAATCAATCACCAGGGCAAAGCAATTCATTTCACTTTTTTGTGGCTCTGTGTTGAGGAGGGCTCAAAGAGGGCACAATGCTACTCCCTGTCCTGTGGAGATTGCCTGAGAGGAAGCTGTCTCCCTGGCACTCACCGCCTTGCCAGTCAGTTCACTTTCTCCCCTTCTTCCTATAAGCCACTTATGCCCTTCCAGCTGTTGCTCTGGTGCTGAATCCGAGGGGTGGGTCTGTGTGAGTCTTTAGTTCACTGCAAGCCCTTTAATAGAAATCTCTTCATAATCTTGCAGTTTCTTCAACCCCCACTGGTTTTTGCAGCCAGAAATTATGGGGACTTATATTCATGGTGCTGGAACCCTGGGTCGAGTAGTCTGGTTTGGGGCTAGGATCGCTTGCTCCCAAGGTATGCCTCCTGATTTTTGTCCATGACACATCAGTGTTAGACCTTCTGTTCCACTGCCTCTCTACGCCTTTCCACATCCTCCATGTCTCCACTCCTCTTACCCGTCTGGATGAATGTGGCTTCTTTAAATAATTGGTGGTTGGACTTCCATACAGCTTGACATATTTGGGTGGTATTTGTTTTGTAGTGTGGTTGTAATTTTAGCTGTAGTTGTGCATGGGGGCAAAACATGTGTACCTACGCCTCTGTCTTGGCTGGAGTCTCCTCGGTGTCTGTCGGTGAATCCTCAATGACCTACCCTGGGATGTCACACATTTTTCATTTCCATCACATTCTGTTTATTTGAAGTGAGTCAGTAAGTCTAGTCTGCACTAAGAGGAGTGAACTTAAAATTCCACCCCTTGAAGGCAAAAATATCAAAGAATTTATGGGCATATTTTAAAACCAGTACAAATAGGGACTATAACCTTTGATGGGCAGCTATTTTTTTTTTTTTTTTGCTTACTAGATTATGAGCTTCTTGACAATGTTATGATTCATTCATCCTTTGTTCCCAATGTCCAGCCCAGCCTGGTTAGAAAGATGTTCAGTGAAAGTTTAATGAAGAAAATGTCTTTTTAGCCCTGGCTGGTGTGGCTCAGTTGGTTGGAACGTCATCACGTAATCAAAAGGTTACGTGATGTTGGATTCCCAGTCAGGGCACACACCTCAGTTATGGGTTCGATCCCTGGTTGGGCATGTGTGACCCTTGGTCCAGATGTGTGTGATCCCCAGTCCAGGTGTGGCTCCCTGCATAAGGGAGACAACCAGTCAGTGCTTTTCTCCTGCATTAGTGTTTCTCTCTCTCCCTTCCTCTGTCTCCCTTACTTTCTCTCTCTCTAAAACCAACAAAAAACATATAATCTCAAGTGAGGATAAGAAAAAAAAAGATGTCTTTTTAAGTCTCTGGATTACTTCTGCTTTCACGTGAGACACTGGGTCTGCGGTAGTCTCTCTTCTGATGAAAGTTTAGCATCAACAGGAATATCAGTTTCTCTTCCGGTGCAGAGGGGCATGTCTTTAACCTAGCAAGTCTACTATCTAAAACCTAAGGAAATAACTGAAATTGCGGATAAAGTTTATGTGCGAAGATACTCACCTCAGCATTATTTTTCTGGAAAATTTATTATTAATATGTAGTTTACAAGCAGTATATAACTGCATTATATTATTTTTTTATTTTTTAAGGTTTTATTCATTTATTTTGGAGGGAAGGGGAGGGAAGGAGAAAGAGAGGGAGAGAAACACTGATGTGCATGAGAAATATCAACCAGTTGCCTCTCGCATGCTTCCGACTGGGGATGTGGCCCACAACCCAAGGCCTGTGCCCTGACTGGAAATTGAACTAGTAGCCTTTCAGTTTGCAGTCTGGTGTTCAGCCCACTGAGCTACACCATCCAGGGATTATTAATTACATATTTAAAAACCTATGTGCCAAGAGTAGCAGCTTAGTTAAATAAATATTACTTCCACTGGATGGAATGTTATTTAGCCCATTAAACAATGTTTGTAGCCTCCACTGGGTGGCTCAGTTGGTTGAGCATTGCCCTGTACACCAAAGGTTTCAGGTTCAATTCCTATTCAGGGCACATAGCCTAGGTTGCAGGTTCAATCCCTGGTTGGGGCACATACAAGAGGCAAACAACTGATTTTTTTCTTTCCCTCATTCTCTCCCTCTAAAATCAATAAAAGCATATCCTCATATAAAGATTTAAAAAGAAAGAAAAACAGAGAAAATGATATTGAGGGGAACCATGGTGAGAAAACAACCACTGACTTCTTATCAGGAACAGCTTAAACCAGAAGACTTAGAACATAAGCCAGAAGAGCAATATCTTTTAAATGCTGAAAGAAAAAAACTGTCAAATTTGAATTTTACTTTAGCAAAGATGTCTTTTAAAATGAAGATGAGCCCTGGCTGGTGTGGCTCAGTGGATTGAGTGCCAGCCTGTAAACCAGAAGATCACCGGTTTGATTCCCAGTCAGGGTACATGTCTGGGTTGTGGGCCACGTACTCAGTTGGGGCATGTGAGAGGCAACCACTCATTGCTGTTTCTTTCCTTCTTTCCCTCCCTTCCCCTCTCTATATAAATAAATAAAATCTTAAACATATAATAAAGTACTTATAAGATACTATGTTCTGGCTGTAACCCCATAAGGTAGCTATTATCATTTCTACTTTTTGTCTTCTTTACCTGTTTGGTCTGCCTCATAAGGTCTCATTTGAAAAAAAAGTTTCCCTGGCTAAAAAAGCTGGAAGGTGTGCGGACTATACTAGTCCACCTTCCCTTCATGCTGCCTTTCAATCAAGGTATGTGAACTTTATTTAGGAAGTGTTCCCTATCTTTGGCCTGAGACATTCCAGGTTCTGCCCTGGCTTCAATTCATTTTTTTTTTGTTTTTCCTTTTCTTCCTCCCAGGTGGACTGACCCAGGACTTGAAAGCTGCTTCCAGATGCTTTCTGATGGCGTGTGAAAAGCCTGGAAAGAAGTCTATGGAGGCATGTCACAATGTTGGTCTCCTGGCACATGATGGACAGGTCAATGATGATGGCAAGCCTGATCTGGGGAAGGCCAGAGACTATTATACAAGGGCCTGTGATGGCAGCTATGCCCCTAGCTGCTTCAACCTCAGCACCATGTTTCTGCAGGGGACTCCCAACTTTCCCAAGGACATGGGCCAAGCATGCCAATACTCACTGAAAGCCTGTGACCTAGGTCATATCTGGGCCTGTGCTAATGCCAGTCGGATGTACAAGCTGGGGGACGGTGTGGAGAAGGATGAAGCAAAGGCCGAGATGCTTAAAAATCGGGCCCTGCAGCTGCATAAAGAGCAGCAGAAAAACGTCCAACCTTTAACGTTTGGGTAGTGTGGCCCACCCTGCTGTACAGCAGAGGCTGGCCCCTCCTATTCCCGATGCAGCCCTGGGGGGTCAACCTGCTGGAGCAGAAAGACTTGGGACTTGCTATTAGTAGCCCTGGTTACATATACCTGTAACCCAGGTATATGGTTACATTGTCACCTACTGGGATATAGCCTGAAGTGTTTATTTCTTTAACTGGTGTGTTCTCTGAAGAGACCCATATTAATGGGGTCTTAGATCTCAAATTCTTATAGTTCTGTGAAAACCAGCAAACTAGAGAGCTATGGAGATTGGGGGTGAGACAAAGAGCGGGAAATTGGATAAATTAGCAGTTACAGAGCCTGAGGGAATCAGACATCATCATCATCATGATTATTTTAGTTGGAGGAGTGGGGCTTGAAAATCAGAAAGTATCTTGATTTACATAGTAGAGGCTTAAGGAACCAAGAATAGTCATGACTGCCACCCTCTGGTTTATGTAATCTTGGCGTGGGCTTTTTGCCTTTAGAGTCACATTTTCCAATAAATTCAGAGATCAGAAAGGTTAAAAGTTGATATACTTCAGGGCTGCTAAGGAGAATGAAGCAGGCTCTCCTTCAGTGGAGACATCCCAATGGGCCAGCATCCCCAGCCCACTTACCTGGTGCTGCTCATCACACTGAGGCAGCAGGTTATTCAGGTAGGGATTTGTAAGTAAGGGCTTTGTGGCATATTTTGTCCCTCAGAACTGAACCTTTTTAACTATTTTGATTGATTAGTATTTTTGTTAGCGTGTTCTCTCCAGTTTCTGGGTAGGGTAGAGATTTTCTTGAGAACATTTGGCTTTTCTATTCTCCTAATTTGTCACTAGGGGGCGAGCTTGTAATTTTCTTGGTGATAACAGGACTTATTTCTGGCACTACCTACAGATTTTAGGGCTTCCAGTTTTGCAGCTATGTTAGAGGGAAGGCTTGCTGTGTGGATGGTTTGTAAGCATAGTCCACCAGTTTCTCCAGTTGATAGAGAGGGACTTTCCCAAGAGTAGACAAGTTCTAAAAAAGTGAGTTCGTTTAAAAAATACAGCTTTTGTCATGTTTCAAATAAATAGGCCAAAAAGCACATGAAAAGATGTTCAACATCGCTAGTCATCAGGGAAATGCAAATCAAACCACAATAGGGTAATTATCTTACCCTTTTCAGGATGGCTATTTAAAAAAAAAGACAACATGTTTGCAAGGATACACAGACTGGAAACCTTACACATGGTTGGTGGGAATGTACAGTGGTGCAGTCACTATGGAAAACAATATGATGTTTCCTAACAAATGAAACAGTTAACATGTGACCTGGCAATTCCACATCTGGGTATATGTTTGAAAAAATTGGCAGCAGAGTCTCTGAGATATTTATACACCCGTGCTCATAGAAGCAATCATAATAGCCAAAACACACAACAATGTTATGTGGCCTTGAAAGGAAGGAAATTCTGATACATGTGTAATATGGATGAACCTTGAAGACATTATGCTGAATGAAAGAAGCCAGTCACGAAAAGGTACATATATGATTCCACTTAGATGAGGTATCTAGACTCAGAAACAGAATGGTGGATGCCATGGTCTAGGAGGAGAGAGAAATGGGGAGTTGTTTAATGGGAATAGCATGTCAATTTTGCAAGATGAAAAACTTCTATAGATGACTTGCACAAAGAAGATGAAAATTCTTAACACTACTGAACTGTCCACCACAGATGGTTAAGATGGTAAATTTTCTTTGTACATAACCACAGTATTTTTAAAAACTGACATTTAAATTTTTTTAAATGCAATATCTGAAGTTTGGGGCTATAAAAAAGCCCTGGCTAGTGTGGCTCAGTGGATTGAGCACTGGCCTGCGAACCTAAGGGTTGATGGTTCAATTCCCAGTCAGGGCACATGCCTGGGTTGTGGGCCAGGTCCCCAGTGGGGGGCATGCAAAAGGCAACCGTACATTGATGTTTCTTTCCCTTCACCTCTCTAAAAATAAGTAAAACCTTTAAAAAAGTACTATATTCTCTTGAAATGAAGTTTGGAACATAGCAAAAAAAAACCAACCTTTCACTACCCTTTACCACCTACCAGCTTTGGCCCAATAATGTTGTTTAACTACCCTTTAAGAATCACATCTTCCAGTGGATTGAGCGCAGGCCTGCAAACCAGAGGATCGCAGTTTGAGTCCCAGTCAGGGCATATGTCTGGGTTGCAGGCCAGTTCCCAGCAGGGGACCCACGAGGGGCAACCATACATTGATACTTCTCTCCTTCCCTTCCCCTCTAAAGATAAATAAATAAAATCTTTTAAAAAAATCACATCTTTTCTAAAGATTGACTTTATCAGATTGATTTTTGGTCTACCTTATTAGACATGTAGCAGTAGGCTGAAAACAGCAGCAACAAACAATGAAAAAAAGAATAGGTTTCTACCCCTAATGTTACCTGGTATGTGACAAATGGAAGCACAACATTTCGTTTAGGCAGTCTCTCAGGACATGTACAAGGTCAGGGAGTGATGACTGACTTGTACAGAGTAAAAAGCCAACAGAAATCTATACCCGTTGGGGAACAAAAAATACAGTAACTCATTTTTACTAGCATTTCTTGTTAAGAGCAGGGTTAACTTTGCAAATCTGCCAAAGATAGAGCATCTGATTTGCTGAATGTTCTCATTTACCAAATTTAACAGCACACTTGAAATTATTATTGGACTTCCATCTGTTGAGTGGAGAGATAGGAGTGTAAACTTAAAGATTTCAATAGGAATTTTCCTTTTACCCACCAGGTAAATATTTATTGAATTAAAGTGTTTTGTTGCAACCACCATATATAATACTGGGACCCTGTCTTTCCTAAGTGTTTTAAAGGCCGTTAATGTTGGACATGTCAAATCACTTGGCTGAGGAATCCATGCTACCAGTCTCTCATGCATTATTGTAACTTTTCACATCATAAATTTTTTTGTAAAGATTTTTATTCATTTTTAGAGAGGAGAAGGGAGGGAGAAATGGAGAGAAACATCAATGTGTGGTTTGCCTCTTGTGCACCCCCCCTGGGGACCTGGCCCAAAATGCAGGCATGTGCCCTGACTGGGAATTGAACCAGCAACCCTTTGGTTCACAGGCCGGCACTCAATCCACTGAGCCACATCTGCCAGGGCCATAATAAATATTCTTACTCATTGGTTCATTTTAGCCTTAGGAACAAAACTCATTAACATAAAGCCAAGTAGTATAAGTTTAGAGTATGGGTTGCATGTGTAGACTAAATACAAGATGGGTGGGGAAAGAGATAGTGGTTTTTCAGATGACTTTCAGAGCTTTTGAAAGCTCTGTTACAAGGTAATTAATTATTCCATGATGGTTTTATTTGCTGTATCACTAAAAGTGAAGTAGTGAATACAGTTTGATTTTGTAAAAACTTCACATATTTTCAATTAAATAATTTGTTTTATAATTTTGAAAAATTAGGTTAACTTGATTTTGGGGGCTGTGTTTTTATGGACCTGTGGTGCCTGCCTGCCTGCCTTGGATCACATACTGAGATAGGGCTGGGAACAACAGAATGAGTATTACCAGTGTCAAAATGTTCTCTTTTACAAAAGTTATTAAAATGCAAAGAGTAATAATTTACAGTCAGAAAGGTCTAAGGCCATTTCCTATCCAGGTTGCTGTGGGAAGGAATGGGTTGATAATGGCCAGCATGGCTTTTTCTCACTTTTGTTCAACCTTTGGGCCCAGGTTTGAGAGTGGGTTATCAGACTCTTGTCACAGCAAGCAGTATTATTGCTGTGTCTTCTGACCAGTGGGCATTTGAATCATTATTACCAGTTATTTTCAATGTGTTCCCTCCCTGCCAGGCTTGGGGTGAGCAGTCTAATGACTTGGGGTGAGTTTCATAATTGACTAGTGGTTTGTGTTCTCACTAATGTTCTCACTCAAGTCTCAAATGCTGTGTGCTGTGAGAAAAGATAGGAAGAGTCCCAGAGAGGGATGGGAAGGATGGGGGTGGAGAGATTGGGGTTTTATCTTCTGAGCCCTGCAGCAACGCTGAAGAATGAGCAGGAGAATGAAATTCACATATGGAAGAGAGATCCTCCTAGTGGGAGAGTCGGTAGGGGAGGAGGGGGGTGGAGTCAAGCATGGGGTTAAAAAATAGGCAGATTTCAAGAGTATTTGAGATCTTACTCCCCAGCGTAGGTTGTCAGTTTGGTGTAAACTCATAAAAATTTAATTTTTTTTTTTAAAGAATATTTCTAGCCTTGGGCACCTGGGTGGATAGGGGGAGCCATTCATATTGATTTGGAGCCTATGAGTTCAAGATGGGGACAAAACAACTTTTTTGAGGTGTTTGGTAATTTTTTTAAACTTAGAAGTACGTTACACTTTAATTTGTTAATGTTTTATGTATTTGCTTGCAAAAATTTTGCGAGAAGGAAAATGCCTAGACTTTAGGTCCTGCAGGGCCTGCAACTCTGGACGAGGCAAAGGCACACTAGGTGTGAGTGTTCAGGGCACCTAACAAAGAATGAGAAAATAGAAATTTTAAAGAATTTTACACTTTTAAAAAGCCCAAGCAATCATTTTGGGGGGCGAAATGCAAACATTTTTGGCTTCCTAATGTTCATTTTGCAGTTTTGGTCTCTTTAATCTGAATTCTTCATTAGGCTTGGGGGTCACTGGATTCTTGGCCGGGGGGCTTAGATCTAAAGGTCTGAACTGTGTCCCAACCTGGGGTTTGCCCTTTATTGGCCTTGTGACCTTAGGCAAGGTACCCAACCTTCCGGGTCTTGGTTTTGTCACCTTTTAGATGGGGATAACAATTCCTTCCAGGGTTGTTAAAAGGATTAAATAGTAGCTCTTATCATAGAATGATAAATGTTTGTTTAACATTTATGGGTCCAGATTTTACAATCAAATAATTATTTTCTTCTAAATGGTAATGTTGGCTTGTGAAGGAGTCTAGCTTTTAAACCAGGCTGCCTCTGCTGCCATTCTCTTAAACCCAGGGAGCTGGTCGTGAGGCTCTCTAGGGGTATTCATGGCATAAAACAGCTGCAGGAGGCAGGCCTGGCAAGGGGGTGGGGATGGGGCCTGCCCTCCTACCTCCTTCCTTCTCTGCTGCGGTGGGAGAGTCACTGAGAAGACTTGCACCTGCTGGGGGCCCTGAGTGGAAACTATTCTCAGCCGATGCCCCTCTCCAGGCCTGAGGAGTGGTGATTGTGTTACAGTTTATAAATCAGCCCTCCCCACTGTCTAAAGGGGAAAGGCCAACATTTTTTGCCCAACATATAAGTCTCCCCACCCCCATGATACAGTCCCTGCCTCCATTTTTAGCTCCATCTTGTTGCTAACTCGGGCTTCTACAACAGGGAATGAACCACTTATAGTCTTTGTACCACTGCCACAAAAATAACAAAAACAACCAGGCTATTTCTTACTGCCATGTTTTTGTGATGTTGGTTCTCTCTCTGGAATGTCCTCCTATCTTGTATGTACAATGACCTTCATCTTTAAGACTCTGGAAGCATTCCCTTCACCCCCAGGCTGTTAGAGGCTCTGCCCACTAGCCCCCTGATTTTCCGCCCATCACAGCACTGATCACACAGTTATCATCTGTGTATTGATGGTCTCCACTTCCCACAAGACTGAGTTCCTGGAAAACAGGGACATGGTTGGCTTCCTGTCTGTTCTCAGTGTCCAGGATGAGGCTGGGCCCAGGCTGGGCCATGAGGGGCTGCTAGCTGGGACGAACGGTACAGAGTGGCACTTCAGTAGCCTCCCGACCACCCCAAGACAAATCACACCCAGGCTCCTCTTCACATCCAAGGACCTGTGTCAGCCACCAGGCTGGACCGTGTTTGAAACTGCTTATCAAGAAAAACTCCTGTCTAAGCCGGAGCTGGCACATGATAAATCAGTACTATTTGGGGGGATTTTATTTATAAAGGTGTCTTAAAGAAAAGTTTTTGAAATAATGAAGGGAAAGGACCCAACAGTGACACCTGGCACCCTAAAGTACATGCTTAGTAACTCAGTGCCAAGAATCCAATATTAATATCCTCATGGCTAAAGAATCACAAGTCCAAGTATGGCGCTTTTTTTTTTTTTTGCTTGGAATACTAAGAATATCTTTCTTGAAATACTAAGAAGTAATGGTCTTTGCATATCATTATAATTACTTGTTTTCATTTTTGTCTCCCTGATTAGTCTGTGAGACTCCAAAGACAGGAACCAAGGACCAAAGACTTTGGAGTCCAAAGACTCCAAAGATTGAACAAGAGTTCAATCCTCTTTGAAATCTTTCAGAGATTTCTTGTCCCCTGCAGCAGTGATAACCCATTAATCCCCAATCTCTTGAGGTGGGGGGTTACCGCTTAAAACATTTTTGGGTTCACCTAGAGGTACTGTATAAACAAGCAAATCCCAGGGAATTTTAAATATACAAATCCCAGGAGATTCTTAGGCATCCTGCAGTGTGTGGCACACTCTAGTGGTACATAGTCCTAGCTCCTGAGCGTGGTACCATGACCCCTCTGCAGTCTGGGCCCCACAGCTTCAGCTTTCTGCACCTCAGTTGCACCAAAACATCTTGCTTTCTTCCCACCATACCCCCACCCTGACACAAGCCAGACTAGCTCCTATTAAATTCTTCAAAACTCAACCCAGGTGTCACCTCCTCCAGGAAGCCCTCCTAGACCCCCCAGGTCTATGATGGTTCCATAGTCCTTGTGAGTCTCACTTTCAGTTCTTTTCACATGGTTTGGGAGAGGTTGTGGGTGCTTTAAGGATATGGACTATGTCTGACTCATCTCTATTTCCAGTACCTACCTCAAGACCTGGTATAAATAAGATAATTAAATAAATCTTTATTGAAGAGCAGAGACTTAGAATAAATTCTGTCTTCCAGTGGATCCATTGAGCATTGGAAAGGTAGTACTTTGGGGAAAGATCTGGAATTAAATCATTTCTCTGCCATATAAAAAGTGTTACGTTACTTTTCTGAGCCTCCTTTTCCTCATATGTGAAGTAGAGCTAATGTTTACTTCTCAGGGCTAATGTGACGGTTAAAGGGTTGAAGGGGATCCACTGAGAGGTACTTAGCTCAATGACTGGAACGTTTTAATTATGTAAAAAATCACTGAAGGGCTGTCTTCTGGAAGTGGAACTAGGCTTATTCTATACAGCTCCAGAGAGCAGAACTAGGCCCAATGGATGGAAACTGCAAGGAGACAGACCCCAGTTCATAGAGGTCTGAGTAGAAGGAAGAACTTTCTACCTGACAGAATAGGAAGCCTTAGTAGGAGGTGAGCTTCC